TATAGATCTATGTCTATCGATCTATGTCTATCTATCTATGTCTATCTTTCTATGTCTATGATCTATAAGATCTATGTCTATCTATCTATGTCTATCTTTCTATGTCTATAGATCTATGTCTATCTATCTATGTCTATCTTTCTATGTCTATAGTCTATGTCTAGATCTATGTCTATCTATCTATGTCTATCTTTCTATGTCTATAGATCTATGTCTATCTATCTATGTCTATCTTTCTATGTCTATAGATCTATGTCTAACGATCTATGTCTATCTATCTATGTCTATCTTTCTATGTCTATAGATCTATGTCTATCTATCTATGTCTATCTTTCTATGTCTATAGATCTATGTCTATCTTTCTATGTCTATCTTTCTATGTCTATAGATCTATGTCTATCTATCTATGTCTATCTTTCTATGTCTATAGATCTATGTCTAACGATCTATGTCTATCTATCTATGTCTATCTTTCTATGTCTATAGATCTATGTCTATCTATATGTCTATGTATCTATAGATCTATGTCTATCTATCTATGTCTATCTTTCTATGTCTATAGATCTATGTCTAACGATCTATGTCTATCTATCTATGTCTATCTTTCTATGTCTATAGATCTATGTCTAACGATCTATGTCTATCTATCTATGTCTATCTTTCTATGTCTATAGATCTATGTCTAACGATCTATGTCTATCTATCTATGTCTATCTTTCTATGTCTATCGATCTATGTCTAACGATCTATGTCTATCTATCTATGTCTATCTTTCTATGTCTATCGATCTATGTCTAACGATCTATGTCTATCTATCTATGTCTATCTTTCTATGTCTATCGATCTATGTCTAACGATCTATGTCTATCTATCTATGTCTATCTTTCTATGTCTATCGATCTATGTCTAACGATCTATGTCTATCTATCTATGTCTATCTTTCTATGTCTATCGATCTATGTCTAACGATCTATGTCTATCTATCTATGTCTATCTTTCTATGTTTATCGATCTATGTCTATCGATCTATGTCTATCTATCTATGTCTATCGATCTATGTCTATCGATCTATGTCTATCGATCTATGTCTATCGATCTATGTCTATCGATCTATGTCTATCGATCTATGTCTATCTATCTATGTCTATCTTTCTATGTCTATCGATCTATGTCTAACGATCTATGTCTATCTATCTATGTCTATCGATCTATGTCTATCGATCTATGCCTATCGATCTATGTCTATCGATCTATGTCTATCGATCTATGTCTATCAATCTATGTCTATCGATCTATGTCTAACGATCTATGTCTATCTATCTATGTCTATCTTTCTATGTCTATCGATCTATGTCTATCGATCTATGTCTATCGATCTATGTCTATCTATCTATCTATCTATCCATCCATCTATCTATCTATCTATCTCTGTATCTCTCCCTCTATCTATCTATCTATCTATCTATCTCTGTATCTCTCCCTCTCTCTCTCTCTATCTCTATCTTTCTGTTTGCCTGCCTGGCTGGCTGGCTGGCTCGCTGGCTGGCCGGCTGTTTGTCTGTCTGTCTGTCTGTCTGTCTGAATGCATGAATGTAGTGTAATGTAAGGGAATGGAACGGAAAGCAACGCAATGCAATGCAATGCAATGGAATGTATTGTACTGCAATGTAGTGTAATGCAATGTATGTGTGCGCTTGCACGCACATGTATATATAATATATATATATATATACATACACACATATATATATATATATCGTTTCCGCGCCTTAAAAAATCTCTTTGCAGTCCGTCAAAGGTTCAAGCTGTCGGCATGCCAGTAGCTGGGCAGCTGGTCATTCCCAGGTGATGGGGATCAACTTGGCACACTTTACCCTCAAAGGCCACGAAGGCCTCTTCACGGATTTGCTTGTGGAAAATTGTAGGTTTATTGATGTTTGTAGCCTCAAATGTTATTAAATGTTCATTACTCTTGATTTTGAGCATCAACGATAAACCGTTGTAACTTGAAACATGTTGAAACTACAAACACTGTGCGGTCGCTCTACTTGTGAGCCTGAGAGAAACACCTTCACGAACTGTTTGCTCAGGTGGTGTATCCCGCGTGAGGTTCACAGGGCCTATCTCTGAGCATATTTGAATGACCATGAGCAGCCGCAGCAAACTATTTGATACCTTTTGAAAATGGGCATTGGTATTTGCATCTCGCCTTTGACATTACTTGACTCTTGGCACGTATTCGTAGTCTTCTTGATCGCTTCTTATTTGAAAAAGTGCAGAGATACAACAGAAGGCCAGGAGATTTCGGAGCAAAGAAACAGGTTTTCAGACCCAGTAGATCCCAGTAGATCTTTCTCGAACCCCACGCAACCAATCACAACCACCTGTTTGCAAGCTACATTCCTCTGCAGTCCTCTGCAACTATTGTGCGCTCTTTTGCGAGAAACAAACCTACTGTACAAATGGCTTTCAGAATGCCAAAAGAAGTGACATAGATGCAAAGGTGACAAACGCATCATGACTAGGCAGAATGTCTGCGACCCACTCCAGAACGTTTCTAGATTCTGCTTCAACTTCTTCCACCCCTGCTGGAAAATGAAGGATCAACAGGATGTCTGCTAGGACTTGTTCACGCTCACACAACTCACGCACACAACCTCTGCACTTTCATATTGCTTGTCAACACAGAACATTTTTTCGGGCCAGCATTCCATCAGACGATTGCGTGATATTGCGTGCTGAGTGTGTATCTTATGTATCTCAGCCAGCTCCCAACATGCTCAGAGCATCCAAAGCCTGGAGGTTCAGGTTTGACAGTGGTGAATGGATACGAAGCGTGTCAATCTGATGCTGCATGCCACTTAGGGATGGACAGCTGTTGGCCAGCGTGTCCAAAGATTGTTCTGTGCGAGTGTGGATTCCGCAGTGGGCCAAGACACTTCAGAGTCTGTGCACGAGTCGAAAGAGTATGGATGAGCAACCTGGCGTAGAAGTAGTTCTGTGTAGTTTCTGCCAGGTCCCTCTTCAATCCGCTTTTGCTGGCTAAATTCATTGCCCACGAGGTTTGGAGAAATTAGGGCCATGTCCATCACAAATGTGGTGCCCTTTCTGCTTGTATCATCTTGTATCCTGGTGCCAACTCTGTTTCTTGAAGGCTTGGATAAGAGATGTCTCATGGTCCCCTGATCAGTCTGTCGCTCAGAAGGGCCACACTGTAGACTCGAATTCCTTGAAGCGAAAACACGCAAGAAGTCTAGTTGGCATGCTTTTCATGTTCATGACATTCCAGTTGATAGTTCCGTTTGGATCCGTTTGGAAAGTGTGGTTTGACGGGGTCTTGCTCGCCACTCATTGTTCTGGAATGTTCTGGATATGTTTAAATAGTCTTTATATGTCTTTCTCATCTTTACCTAAACCCTTTCGGATCCTTTCCGTCTTCCAAAGCTCAAATCTCGTTTGCCAAGGAAATCTTTGTTCACAGCTGGTTCCGACGGGATGGTCTTCGCATGGGAGGCTGGATGCAGTGTGCAAGAAATCCGCAATATTTCTTCGTTGCAATTCTCTTCCGAATATACATGAAGTGTGAACTAGTCTTGCTTTGGCGATTTTGGACGCTTTTCGCTGTCGAATTTTCTCAGCCTTCTGCTGATGTTGACCTGTTGCTGTGATGGCTACCCTTGATGTCAACCCATGTAAATCCTCTTTGTGGGTTTCTTACAGAAAGTTTAAAGTCTGCTCAAGCACCCCGTGGTTTTTGGAGCAATTCTAGTAAGTGGGCGTGCATCACGGATACCACAAATGAAAACAACAGTTCTGCGAATATGAATTTAGACATGGCTAAGTAGTGCAACTGTGAATGCCTGGATCTGACCATGGAAGCCAAATCGCCAGCACACCTTGGCAGGTCCCTTCAAAGTGCCCCGTGTGAAGGGCCTCATAGCGGGTCATGACAGTCCTGACAAATGACCACGATGACATGAGTCCCATATGTCTGATTTGTGGTGGATACGCCCGTGACATTTCCAGGTACCATGCTCAGGTTCAAAAAGGACGTGCCAGTGGCAGCAGGAAGTGTGATTCTCAGGATGATTCTTGATGTTGTCCACTGCAGTTTTCGAATGTTTTCGAGTAGTCAACCTTGCAGGCAGTCATAGGGTGCATGAATGCCACTAATCTGCTCGGCAGGTACAAAGCTTGATTTGAGTCTCAAGAAGAGGGTAGTTTTGTCCTGCACGGTTGGCTAGATGTTGCACGGCTCACATCATTGGCACCTAAACCTTACAAGAAATGATGGTATTTGGAGATTCTCAGGGTTTGCGTTCAACTGTCTAGCGTGAGCATACTTGCTCAACCCTGCTTTGAAGCCTTCCCAAGGAAGAGTTCCCTTTGTGCAACCTTGAAAAGGTTTTACATACTCTGCATGATGACCAAAGCAGTCTGGACTTGATGTTTAAAGTCCAAGCAACTCACATAGGTACTTCCCAGGAACCCGAACTCAAGTGTTTTTTGCTTCCTTTGGTGAATGTGTCCGGACAACACGAGGAACACCCACATCAGCCCAGACCATGTACTGCAGCTACCAATGCTGCGCCATTTCTGCTTGCTTGCCGGCTTGTTGCGAGTTCAAGTCGTGGAGAGTTGGCGAGCACTCCGTCAGAAAAATGCAAACGGCCAGGCAGGAATTTAAAGACTGCAAACTACTCAATGACATACTCAGTCATTAGGATTGAAGCAGGTTAATTAGTTCCATATACCCACGCCTTCCACTTTGCTGAAGTACTGGGCTATGTAATGTATGTTGTAAAGTTTGCACGCCTGTTTGGATGAAGTTGTCTCCGACTCCCCTACTCGAAGACAATCTGAATCTATCCAACGATCTACTATATCTACAATGCACAGTGGAAGGATCTTGAAGGGGCTGTTTATAGCTGCTTTTAGCTGTTTTTTTTTTGGACTTTGGACTAATCCGTTCAGCTGAGATCAGCAAAGTTTTGCCAAAGGTTCTGTCTGAAAACCAGCGACAATTTCTACTGGAACAACGCAGAACTTCATCGAAAGGTCTCTCAGCTTAGTTGGGCCCAGCAACTTCTCCGTTTCTCAGTTTTGCTTCTCTATTGCTTCTGTACTGCAATTGCTGCATTTGGGTGTGCCTGAAAATGGCGTATACACCCATATAGCTACTTTAATGGACAATATGATAATATGACTATCAACCATTGAATTTTGGGGTGCCCTATTTTCAGACAAACCCATTGATCCAAGACTTCCAGGCTTAAACGCTCTGCACACACAGCTCGAGAGCAACTGGCTTAGTTTGACAGAGTGGCTTTAGATTTCTAGTCTCCGCTTCAGTCAAATCCGTTGTGAGGCCACATTTTGCGGCTGCAAAAGCACAGTGACGAACTACGTGGAGAGTTGGGTTAAGGACTGTTGATGGAGAATGGAGAGGGGCTGTTGATGCATTTTTTTATAGGTGTGAGGGTAGATGGAGGGTGAGACAAGCTGAACCGAGTGGAAGCTACTTTTCAAACGAACCTTCGCACAAAAACTGCCAAGGACCAAAACTGACGTTCCTCCAGTGTTGCGCATTGGTCAAGGAGGCCTCTCTCATATTTTCACACAATCCAGTATTTGATTTTGTGAAAATGTATACCAACCATGTGGAAAGGCATTGTGGTCAATACCAACCTACCAGCGCAAGGATTCTCGGATGTGAGCTTTGTGTTCTCTGCTGACACAACGATGTGGGAGGAAGAGATCACATATTGAAGAAATCAAAAGACAATGAGCGAAGAGACACAATGTGTTCTCCAAAGGAGTTGCATGCACGAATCCCGTCCAACCGGAGCTTTCGGGTTCAGGGGGCCTCAGCATTCTCCACCCTAGGCCTCCTGTGAGGTAAGGGTTGGAGATGCTGAGGTTTCTTTTTCCCAAGAGCGCCTGCGAAGGGTTCTTCGTAAAAAAGCAGCCGTTGTAATGCATCTTCACACCCTCACATCTGCTGATCTAGATCTTCACACCTTCGACACTGCACAGAGCCACTAGCTGTGTCAATTGGTTCTTGGTTTTGTTCAAAGCCTTGTGCTTCATGTTCACTCATTTTGACTCATTTTGGTTCTTCGATTCTGCACTGCGCACAGGCAATGCGTTTGACCGGCTCGAAAGACAAAATTGGCATGCATACAGCGTGCATCAATTGGCAGTGTTGCCGCTGACAAACTCGATGGCCGGTTTGACTGGACTGAACTTGATCATCACACGTTGTAATAAGTAATAAGTAATATGTTACTATATGTTATAACCAAAAACTTCAAGCAGTTGCGCGTGCAACAACCATCTTCATGCCGAAACCTCCATGTATTCCTGAAATATCCAGTATCCCGATGTATCCTGCTCTTTCCCAGAGCATTGATTTCTGGGTCATCAAGCAAGTAAAGGTCTTTGCCCAACTTTTGCTCTTGTTTTTTAGTTTCCAGCCTGCGATTGAACCGTTGGTCCTGATCTGAATAGGGGGTTCAATGGTTTGATGCAAATTCAATCGAACGCTCCTGCACTCATCTAGAGTTGGTGCGTTCCCAAGATGCTTGTGCGCGGCAATTGATCCAACCTGCAAAAAAGTGCAGCGAGTGCAGTGAAGGAAATGCAACATGTTTTCATACTGGCTCTTCAAAAATCTTCAAAAGAGACAGGTTCGAGATGTTCCGAGAATTTTGGCCAAAATTGAGGAGACCTGCCAAAGGACGACACAACCGGAGCATGTTGGAGCAAAATATTTCAGCAAGTTTTGCTCTCTTGACGGATTTAGCATACCAGTTGGCTTGACATCATGTTCACTTCCATTTTTTCCATGTCAGGAGAAGTTCAGAGGATGCATTTGAGAGCTGTAAGAGTTGTTCGCCGAAATCCTTTTTGGCTCAGTTCAATCAGAGAATTATCAAGTGTACATGTTAATCGTTTCATGAACAATGCATTCAGCCAGATGAGACCTCAATGACTTCGGCACATTCAAGTTCGAAGCATCAGAAGTACAACCTATGTAAAATCAAAACACATTGTGTAACAAGGGCAAGACACCACCGGACCAAGCACTGCCAAGCGATACCGCCAAGAACCCGTTGGCCGCTTTAGCCTTGTAGACATGGCAGGCAGCAAGGCCTTTGCGCAGGGAGTAAGGGTTTGGGCAACCGCGTAGCTGCGCAGCAACCTCCTAAAGAAAAATATACAAGGCGTGTTCGGCGGACTTGCGACATATAGTGAACATGATATCTGGGCTTCAAGACACTCACAGCTTTCTTAATCATTACTTCCAGATGGAATATCTACATGTGGAATGCAGGAACTGGGGTGTATCAAATGGTGACACAGCAGTGTTTTCCAGGTGGTGCCTGAAGAAGAGGACGCTGCCGAGGACCAAAGAAATGGTTACAACCCTTTCAGATGATTGGACAAAGTGCTTCGAATTTGTTGGAACGTTGGCCCTGCTCATGTTTTCTTGGCAAAGCTCACAGGAGGCCACGGCATCCAATGACGCCAAGGAAGAAAAGGATGCAGAAAAAGAAGAGAAAGAAACCAAAGATGCCGCTGAGTCTTCAAGCTCTTCATCTGCTGAGGGATTTGGGTGCCATGGCAGATTTGATTTAGAATATTTCAGAGGTTGTAGGAGCAAGGAAGGCTAACGCTAAATTACCCTGGTCAGAAAATGTGAGGTTCAGAGCTACCGTACTGGTCAAGTAGAAGCGCGAACATACGTTTGAGTGGAACCAAGTGTCCCTGCCTTACTCTCCTCTTTTGCTGGCGGAGGAGCGACAAGACCTTTTTGTTTGTTGGTCCAGTTTCAGGGCAATAGGTTTTTACCATCATGTTTTAGCCCGGTTTAGTTGCAAAGGTGGTTGCTCCACTTGCCCAGGTAGTACGCTTTTTTAGGTTGTACCTGAGATTCATGTCATTTGTTGGGCTAGAGCGCAATAGCCACTAGGGGTCTCCTTGCAACTTGCTTAACTTGTCCTTGCCAGGGAAGAGGCAGAGGAGACTGTGGAAGCAAGTCAGGGGCTCAGAGGACGAAAGTCTCTGACTCTACGTCTGCAGTTGGAGTATATTATGTTGCAGTATGTTGCAGTATGTTGCAGTTGTCCATCGCAGCCTCTCTGGTGTACAAGACAATATCAAACGGACTCTCCAGCTAGGAAGATGCGAAGATGTGATATGGAACGATTCTGGTGTCTCTGGATCTCTGTCTATCCATTTGTCTATGAGTCTACTAATTTGTTCACCTGTCTATGTAACTGTTTGTAAAGTCTATCCGTTTGCTGATCTATTTGTCTCTCTGTCTCTACGTTTGTTTATCCATCTATCGACCGAGGATCTACCGATCTACCGAGGTACATATCTACAATCTACAGATCCAACATCTATGGTTCTGATTCATTCTGTTCTCTATCAATTTTATCCATATCTTTCCATGGAATCTATGTAGTATGGCAGAAAGATGAATCACATTGCAGTGTTTCATGCACTATTAAAACACTTCTAGGCAAATGACATGTCCAAAATCCATTGACATCTCGTGATTCACAGAGACCCACTTTGTAACACCTTTGTAACACATCAACATCTGTCAACGACATCCTCCAACTCTCTTGTGATTCTTCTGGGTGTACTCAGCTGGAAAGATCAGCCTTCATGGAGTCTCTGGGACATCTCTGAGGTCCTACACGAGCTCCGGCAACAAGGCCTCGAAACGACGCTTAAAATATAGTAGTACAGAATAGTACAGTATTTATCAGTATTTTAATATATATATATATATGAATCAATGATATATGTTTATATATGAATATATGTATAATATGTATATATATATATATTATATATACGTATATACACACCTACATATACATATATATATATACATACATACATACATGTAATGTATGGTGAACTATGTTGAAAACCATAGAACCAGTTTCGCTAACTTGCCCAGCTATCACAGCATGAGTATATTTGGGATGTTTGTCTCTTTGCCGGGCTTTGACGGCGGCCTTTGAAAGCTCCTGGGTGGTCAGTGAAATGGGCCTGACATCCTGCAGATCAGAGTTTCCAGTGCCGTTAAACCTTGGCATAGAATGGCTCCACATGGTGCCCGATGGCCTCGTGCTAGCATGCCAGTCCCAATGGGACCTGCTTTTTGGCAACAGCAAAATCCAGTGGCAAGGCGGAGGATGTCAACGGACGTAAACATGGAGCTCCTGCGGAAAAAGATGGCCATACCCTCAGGGCGATGTTGAAATATTTTGAAAGCTTGCTTCCCTTCCCCGTCCCCTCTATTGCATCCTGAACTTTGCCTTCGATTTGGCCACCCTCGAAATATGAAAGGGCGCGCAGTGATGGTAGGTAGCTACAATGTTTGCACCAGATGGAGTATACTGGAGTATGTTGTGCTAGGGCATTCGATTTATGTGGTTGTGTCAGATGATACTCTTGGCTCTCACATACATACTCATAGGCATGAGACTGCTTGCCCTTTGAACATTCGTCATGCCATGCCTTGAAGGAATACGAGATTATTTTGCGTCAGAAGCGCCAAAGAAAGCAGGGATTAGAAACGAGTAGCAATGGTTGTGATGTGGTTGCCACATGGTTGTCACTGTGTCCATTGGGCCTCTGTCCTCTGCACGTCAAGGAAGAGAAGGCGGCAAAGCGAAAGGAGGCGGAGGAGAAGAAACAGAAGGCCAATGACAGATGCGGTTTCCGCACAGATCGACAAGAAGCAGAGAAGCATAGACATTTCACGACACTTCTAAAATCTTCTGAATTAGGCACCAATCTCAAACTTGGCAGACCGACTGGGAGCGTATCTTGACTGACTTGCCCCTCTGCAGGCAAAGTTTCGACGAAGTATTGCAAATTTCGTTCGCCTGGCATGATTTGACTCTTTATTCGACCCATGACCTGACTCATGATTTGACTAACCAACCAACCAACCAATCAACCAAGCAAGCAAGCAAGCAACCAACCAACCAAACAAGCAAGCAAGCAACCAACCAACCCAGCAACCAACCAACCAATCCAAGCAAGCAAGCAAGCAAGCAAGCAACCAACCAAACAAGCAAGCAAGCAACCAACCAACCAAGCAAGCAAGCAACCAACCAAACAAGCAAGCAAGCAACCAACCAAGCAAGCAACCAACCAACCAAGCAAGCAAGCAACCAACCAACCAAACAAGCAAGCAAGCAAGCAACCAACCAAGCAACCAACCAACCAAGCAAGCAACCAACCAACCAAGCAAGCAAGCAACCAACCAACCAAGCAAGCAAGCCAACCAACCAAGCAAGCAAGCAAGCAAGCAAGCAACCAACCAAGCAACCAACCAACCAAGCAACCAACCAACCAAGCAACAAGCAACCAACCAAGCAAGCAAGCAAGCAAGCAACCAACCAAGCAAGCCAACCAACCCAACCAAGCAAGCAAGCAAGCCAACCAAGCAAGCAAGCAACCAACCAACCAAGCAAGCAAGCAACCAACCAAGCAAGCAAGCAAGCAACCAACCAAGCAACCAACCAACCAAGCAAGCAAGCAACCAACCAAGCATTCAAGCAAGCAAACCACCAAGCAAGCAAGCAAGCAAAGCAACCAACCAACCAAGCAACCAACCAACCAAGCAAGCAACCAACCAAGCAAGCAAGCAACCAAGCAAGCAAGCAAGCAAGCAACCAACCAAGCAAGCAAGCAACCAACCAACCAAACAAGCAAGCAAGCAACCAAGCAAGCAACCAACCAACCAAGCAAGCAAGCAAGCAACCAACCAAACAAGCAAGCAAGCAAGCAAGCAACCAACCAACCAAACAAGCAAGCAACCAACCAAGCAAACAACCAACCAACCAAGCATTCAACCAACCAACCAAACAAGCAAGCAAGCAACCAACCAAGCAACCAACCAACCAACCAAGCAAGCAAGCAACCAACCAAGCAAGCAAGCAACCAAGCAAGCAAGCAAGCAACCAACCAACCAAACAAGCAAGCAAGCAACCAAGCAAGCAACCAACCAACCAAGCAAGCAAGCAACCAACCAACAAGCAAGCAAGCAAGCAAGCAACCAACCAACCAAACAAGCAAGCAAGCAAACAACCAACCAACCAAGCCAACCAACCAACCAAACAAGCAAGCAAGCAACCAACCAAGCAACCAACCAACCAACCAAGCAAGCAAGCAACCAACCAAGCAAGCAAGCAACCAAGCAAGCAAGCAAGCAACCAACCAAACAAGCAAGCAAGCAACCAACCAACCAAGCAACCAACCAACAAGCAAGCAAGCAACCAACCAAGCAACCAACCAAGCAAGCCAACCAACCAAGCAAGCAAGCAACCAACCAACCCAAGCAAGCAACCAACCAACCAACCAAGCAAGCAACCAACCAACCAACAAGCAAACCAAGCAAGCAACCAACCAACCAAGCAAGCAACCAACCAACCAAGCAAGCAACCAAGCAACCAACCAACCAAGCAAGCAAGCAACCAACCAACCAAGCAAGCAAGCAACCAACCAAGCAAGCAAGCAAGCAAGCAACCAACCAAGCAAGCAACCAACCAACCAAGCAAGCAAGCAACCAACCAACCAAGCAAGCAAGCAACCAAGCAAGCAAGCAAGCAACCAACCAAGCAAGCAAGCAACCAAGCAAGCAAGCAAGCAACCAACCAACCAAGCAACCAAGCAAGCAAGCAAGCAAGCAAGCAACCAACCAAGCAAGCAAGCAACCAACCAAGCAAGCAAGCAAGCAACCAACCAACCAACCAACCAACCAATGCACGAATGAACGAACCAATGGCCAGTGTTTTCGTATGCTTTGTAATTTTGCATCGTTGAAATGAGCTGGGTGGTCCGCCAGATGGATGGCCCTTACATGACCATGATCTCAGTATCTTTGACGGTGCTGGTCTCTGCATTTGAACGTTGCTGTGTACAGTAAGAAGTTTGAATCCAGACCAGTCCACTTGATACATTGCTTGATTCAGGATTTGATGGTTGTGCTTGGCATATGATTGAAGATTCTCATTATCATTGCAAATGATTGACAGACTGAGCATCACCTGTCTGTGGATGTTTGTAAAGCCCTGAAACAACATGAAGCAACATTCAGAATTCAGACATTCCAGTGAAATGTGACATGATATATATCATTATATATATGATATCATATGGCCCTTTTCACTTGAGCCTCATCCAAGTTCTGGGCGTTGCTCGGAGACGACCTTCGCATTCTTACCACGAACCGACCTGCAGACATTGTGTGCCTCGGTGCCATGTAGTCACTGTAGTCCAAATTGGCAGAGGTAGAATATGAAATGTGCAAAATGAATATGACATGAGTACGACAGAATCATAATGTGAACATGACTGAATCTGTCAATATGGCTAGGGGTTGTGAGCTGCCTTAAATACGCTGCGGAAGCTGTCTTGTCCAGATGATCTGGTGGTGTTGATGTGGCTCTATGCAATCAGGCATCGAAGGCAGAGCAAAACGAAGAACTGAACATGTGGGGACACTGGTATTGTACGGCCCAAACAAAGCAGTGTGTGGCTTTGTATTACAAAGACATTCTACATCTCACACATCGCCCTGATTCTCACCCCATCGCATGATATCGCATGCTTCTTGATGACCTCAATGTTGTGCACGCTCACTAATTGAAAGTTGGCCAGCTGGCCATGCGTTCATCATGCCTGAACGACGACCAAATCTCAGACGGGCCGTGCCTGGGCTTCACCCAACTGTCTGAGAGTCACAGGATGCTCAAAAGTTCTCAAAGTGTTGCAAACATCTCAAGCCGAAGCTTCAGAAGATGTTCAACTGCTGTCCCGTTTTTTTTGTGTAAGCCCCTGTTGGCTAACAAAACTGACCATCTGAACAAGGTGAACGTCGACGACATCAGAGAGCTTGTTGACAAGCAAGGTCTGCAGCAGGCTTTGAATCCTTCGGCAGTGAAACTGACAGCTGGGGAGTTTTTAGTTGGGAGATCAGGGAGAACGGAAGCACGGCAGATCGCAGGGCAAGTTGGACTAACGAGATCTACTGTAACCAGTGGTGTCTGGATGTGGGACGCTTGGAACATTCCAAGTACAGTAATTATGCAGAATGTACGATGAAGAGCATATACGCCCACACACATATATATACACACTTAAACAAAAATAATAAAAAAACATTACTATTTTACACACTGTACATAGAGTTTTTTTTTTTAAAGTAATTACATATGTACACTACATATGTATATATATAAAATACATATTGTTGCAACGATCAAAGGCGAATATCAAAGATAAACTGTAAAGGCCACAGAGTCCCAGGTCATCGGGGCTTTTGATTGGATTTGTCAGCGCAAGATAGCCGCAAGGTGGAACTTTGCAGAGCTTTACGAGCTCTCTCTGAAGAGCTCCGTTGTAGGCCACATCACGATGAGTCTCACTACCTATCAGGTGAAGAATGTAGAGAACCGGCTTGCCATGTTTGGCAGCGGTGGAACAGAATGGTGGTTTATTTATTCAAATATGTTTCTGTGTCAAATTTGGTATGCTTCTGCCTTTCTCAGATGAGGAACGTGAAAGGACTTGTCTTGACCTTTTGAGATGCTCCCTGTGCAGATTCGGCATATACTCTGCGGCTGCATCTGATGAGGTACTGGCTTCTTAGCAAAGCAGCTTTCATGTTTTTTGATATGTCGTAGTATATTATGTGATATTATGTATATTGTTGTCTTTTAAGAACCGGGCAGTAGAAGCAGGTCTTTGATCGAATCGAGAAAGGGACCGCGCCACAGTCGGAGGAGGTATCGAGAGCCAACCGTTTCGCACGTCAGCAAGTCTCATTTCTTTGTTTTCACAAGTCGCAAAGCGTTCTTCTCGAATCATCAATCAATGCCTACGGCCTACAATATTTTGAGAACATGTCCCAGGTATAAATAAATAATTCAAATAGACAAACGGACAGACACATAAATAAATGCACATTAAATAGATAAACTTATATTATCTTATATTTATCGAAGGAAGTTTAGAAGTCAAACTTCCGACAATATGGAGAGATGAAAAGCAGAGCAGGGCAGAGGCACAGAGAAGAGGAAGATTAGAAGAGAGAAGATCAGAAGAGAAAGAGTAAGAGGACAGAAGATACAGATGCGCGAAAAGGTAGGAAAGTCGCGAAACACTGTGTTTTTCCAATGATTTTTGGCTCCGGAGGGTCGAAAAGTAGGCTCGCTAAAGCGGCGGGTGCGGAGCCAGCTGGCCACAGGAGCGATGAAAAATTGCACGCCGTTGTGGCGCGAAGCACGTTTCCAAGTCAAAATGTACAAAACACACCAGGTTCGGACCACTTTTGGAAGTTGAGATGTCGAAAAAGTGCACGCCGTTGTGGCGCGAAGCACATTTCCAAGTCAAAATGTACAAAACACACCATTTTCGGACCACTTTTGGAAGTTGAGATGTCGAAAAAGTGCACGCCGTTGTGGCGCGAAGCACATTTCCAAGTCAAAAGTGTTAAAAACTGACGGTCTCGGACCACTTTTGCAGGTTCAGATGTCGAAAAAGTGTCAAAAAAGTGCACGCCGTTGTGGCGCGAAGCACATTTCGAAGTCAAAAGTGTAAAAAACTGAGGGTTTTGAGCCTTTTTTGACGTGAAGATGGCGAAAAAGTAGACACTGATTAACTTAACTAACTTGACTAACTTAACTAACTTCACTAACTTAACTACCCTAACTTCGACGACAACAGCAACAGCAACAGCAACAACAACAACAACAACACCAACCACAACAACACCAACCACAACAACTACAACCACAACAACTACAACTACAACAACTACAACTACAACAACTACAACTACAACTAGAACTACAACTACAACTAGAACAACAACAACAACCACAGCAACAACAACAACAACAGCAACAACAACAACAACAACAACAACAACTACCACAACTACAACTACAACTACAACTACAACTACAACTACACAACAACAACTAGAACTAGAACTACAACAGCTACAGCTACAACAACAACTACAGCTACAACAACAACTACTACTACTACTACGACAACGACAACGACAACGACAACTACAACAACAACAACAGCAACAACAACAACAACTACTACAACAACAACAACTACTACTACTACAACCACACAACAACTACAGCTACAACTACAACAATAACTACAACTACAGCAACTACAACTACAACTACAAAACAACTACAGCTACAACTATATGACTGCAACTACACTACACTAATTACATTACACCACAACTACAACTCCACTACGCTACAACTACAGTTGCAGTACATCACACTACATCCAGCAGTTGTGGGTGAGGTGACCACTGCAACCATTGCAACCATTCCAGCAAACACAACTCCAACCACCTTTCGGTCAATCAGTGGCTTCGCTCTGCCATCCCTGATTCACAACAACCAACGTCTCCTATAGGTTTCCTATTTTTGAAACTTCCGCCACCGCCTTGTGCGGTACTACTGGTATATAATCAAATCTAATCAATGTTGCAGGCTATGCTGCACTCACCGTGACATCAAAATGCAGCAAGGTGACCCCAAGATATTTTAGGCACGGGTCTTCAATGTCATTGTTTTGACCGCGAGGATAGCTCAAGACCTACAACGCCAGGCGATGAGCGTGACAAAGCCTACATTTTCCTTGAACTTTGATTTGCTCGGTGCTTTGGATGTTTTGACATGTCTTGGTAGAACTTTAGCCGACATTTGGCATTCTCTTGGTAGTTCTTTGCCTATTTTGACTGTATTTGACTGTTCTATATCATCTTATTATCATCTTATATCGTTCTATTCTCTTCAAGCCAAGTTCAACCGCTCTCCAGGTTGGCCCAGGCGACGTGCGAGATCTCCACGGGCTCCGTGTGGACCTCGTGAGATCATTTGTGCTCTGCAAAGCTCAATCGAATGGAGAGACCATGTAGGTTAAACACAATACATGAATATACATGACTTATAGGGAAGATATAAAACATTATAAAACTATATCAAATGATATAAAGTGATGTGTACTATAAATATTTAATTATATATTATATATTTAATATAGAAGGTGCATACGGTTAATGTATGTACACCTTGATATAATCCTGTATTTATACTATTATATAATATATAATTTGTATACACATATACCCGTATTCGTATTCACTTAAGCAGCTACTTGTATATGAAGCCATGTGAGAACGTCAAATTGCATGTATACTAGGATAGTTTCGATCGAAATTTGTGGCTGACAGTTGACAAGATTTGCATGGCATCATTATCATCTTGAGGTAGCGTGTTCTTTTTGAAATCATTGAAAATTATGTAATGCATTTGTGTTCTTGTGTGTTAGTGTGCGCGGGGGTTGTGCAAAGGTTGATTCAATACATTTCAATCATTTTTCGATTAACCATTTCAATTCAAAGCAACCGGAACCTTCCTTAGATATGTCCGAAGTTCATGCCTAGAAAGGCTGTCAAACACGGCGTGCATATATTTGAGGACATGCATGTCCCTCTTCTTGAGAAATAGTTTTGCTGTCGGAGTCATGTCAAAGTTTTCAAATGTGGTTTGGAGAGGCTTAGGATTGTGTCCGACGAAACTGTCGTGAAGTACAACATGTGTACCCAGTGACACAACAAGCGAGCGTACCGGGAGCATCCGGGAGCATCCAGGAGCTTGTGAGGCTCAGATTGCCCCAAGCAGTTAAGCAAACAGTCGATCCCCGGAGGGCCTGTTCACAGCTTTGAACGTGTAGCGGAGTGCAATGGAGTATTATGTTTGAGTAAGCCATCTCCATCCATGGCCATCGGAAATCTGGACGACTCTGGTCAAATATTGATCAAATCTAAGGTCGCCTACGCCCAGAGAGGTCTCTGCCAGCGATGGCAGTGAGGTCAGCAAGCGCTTGTGTTGCCATTCGTTTTGTCATTTCCTTACTTTCTGATACTTTCTGCCTTTGCCTTCATCTACTGGTATATAGACCTTCATAATCCTTCATACATACTATCAATATCTATCAATTACTATCAATTACTCGTACTATCATATATCTCTACACATCTTCACATTTCTGGTTTGTCTTTCCGAAGCGACTCTGAGGTGTCATGTATTTGGCGCTTTACACATGCACATGCCGCGGAATTTGTGCCAATGGATGTTCACGAAATGGGCATGTACAAGTACATCTTGATGCATACACATGTGTATGTCCTGCCAAACTGCAATCTCGGGGAATTACCCACCTTGGTCAAATACAAACACATTGACATGCTTTCTTGTGCCAACGACTGGACTGCTCTCTTTCGAATCTTTGGGCAAGTGATCTGGCACTTGCAGCTCCTTCTGTTGGTTCAGTACCAAGAGGCAGTCGATGGTCGTGTCAGTTGTTTTATCATGTTTTATCATGTTTAATCATGTTTTATCATGTTTTATCATGTTTTATCAGAGGATCTTACAATTGGTTGGTGACACTCTGGGTCATGTATGATAATGCGATTGTTTCAGCCATTTCAGCGCGCTTTTCCTGTGCTACATCAAACGGTCCTGATCACTTGCCACTGAGATCCACCGAGTTTGGTTTTCGTATTTTTGAGTTTGTTGAGATAATTTGAGATATGTTCAGATCAAGCCAATCACCTGGGCATATGGTGCAATCCCTGATGTGGAGGTCCTGCTTGTATCCGATCCACTGAAATCGGCAAATTTTCCCATGCACGCAGAGGTGGCTCTGAATGGAGCAGGGTAATTAGAACCGGGAAAATGTGCATACAGAAGTGATTCTGAATGCTGAAGAAGGTCTTTAGACTTTAGACCTATCATTTGCATTGTGTGTGCAGTTGAGGTAGCAACTCAAACTCTGCAAACTTAGGGATGGACCGCAGAAACATGCAAAGAGTTTTCGATTTATGCCCTCTTGACTTTCAATGACTGACTTGAATACACTCAAACTCTGTGCTTAAAATGGCTGACATCAAAGAGTATATGGATGAGGATGGATGATGCACAAATTTGTTGATTTTCCTTGTCCTCGCTTTGATCAGCTTCACCATGCTTCACCTGTCCAGGTTGCAGCTTTTCAGCGCCAGTCGGAGCGAACAGAAAGACTTCAGAGAGAGGCGGCAACGGCAATACTTCACCTGCCACATGGTCCACATGGTCCCGCACGGAGTCACACGGATTCATGTCGTCACGGGTCACAGACGTACCTTACATGATGTCAATCTTGCTTGTCCACACTTGTACGCAGCTGCAATAAACCAGCTTGTGCCAATGATCACCGAAGGGCCGTGGCAAGAAACAAGATGTCCAGGTTGGGATACTTCGAAAGGCAGTTGACCAGTCTGCAGCAAACTTCAAGCGTATAGCTGAGGCAAGGAGGAAAAGCTGAAGTGATCTCAACATTCCAGGGAGCGGTAAAGAATGACACAGACAGCATCCTCGGGCTTTACTTGGTTGTATTGTTTCAGAGTCTCTAGTTCTACAGTTCCAGGTTGGTATAAATGCGGTGGAACCAAAAGCTTGGTATACTTCTAGGATCTTCTAGGTATGAAAAGAGTTGGACATAGTTGGACCACAATGCAAGTAGTGCAGTCAAGAGCTTGGCATCATCTAAAAATTAGTAGGGAAGGCTGGGGACACTTCAAACAGATTTCGCGGATCTTGGGCCCAGGGACTGAATATACTGATAATATAATATAATAATATAATATAATAATATAATATAATAATATAATATAATTTAATATAATAAAATATAATATAATATAGTATGATATAATATAATAATATAATATAGTATAACATAATATAATATAATATATATATATATAATATTTTTTAATTATATATAATTATATATACGTATGTATATATATATATACACAGTCAAAATACAATAAATATAATATTAAGATGTAATGATAATAGTAACAGCAACAATAACAATATCAATAGCGATAACAATAACAATAACAATGACAATAACAAGTACCACAAACGAGAACAACAACAACAACAACAACACTTTCAACAACAACAACAACAACAACAACAACAACAACAACCAGAAGAAGAAGAAGAACAACAACAACGACAACAACAACAACAACGACAACGACAACCACAAGAACAAGAACAAGAACAACAACAAGAACAAAAACAACAACAAGAACAACAACAACAACAAGAACAACAACAAGAACAAGAACAAGAACAACAACAGCAACAACAACAACAACAAGAACAACAACAGCATATAAATTAATATATAATTAAACATAATAGCGACAATGATAATGACAATAATGGTAATGATAGTAATGATAATATATGTAACAATGATAGGACGAAGAAGAAGAAGACGACGACGGAGAAGTTGTAGTAGAAGAAGACACACAAAGAAGAATTAAGCCTAAACATGAATACTGAAAATGATGAAGGAATAATGAACATGAAACATGAAGAATGAAGAATGAGGAAGTCTGGAAAACTTGAAGGTTATGTCAAAAAGTACATACTGATACATACTGTATGTCTTTCATCATGTGAAGATATCCTGATAAATACGGACAGGATGAGGTGGATTTTGCTATCAAGAACATCGAAGCCAAAGCGAGCCTGCGACAAAACACCACTGTCGTGCACACTGCAGAAATCTGTGGAATGTTTATGCGTGTCTCGAGATGTTTCGAGATGTTTCGAGATGTTGAATCCAATCTAGTGCTGATAGGCTGATATTGCTGAGGCTTGACTCAGATGGATCATCATGAAGAACTGAAAGCGCTGCTTGACCAAGCCTGCACCTGAAAGACTACGAGACGTTCCTCAAGGGGTGTGTATGTTGTCTCTACAGAGTCTCTGCCCAACAATCGTTATTTGCCCAACAAAGGTGATTCCGGCATGCCAAGATATACCAAGGCTCTTGACCAGCGCGAGCATTTGGCATCCTTGGCCCGTTCTCTCCTGAAACAAACACATTCCAAAGAGAGACTTGCAGCACTGAGAGATTAGTTGGCATTTTGTGTCCGAATCTGTCTAAGGTGACGCTGTGGAGGATCGCTTTCGCATAGAACTACAAACACTTTCAGAGGTGCTGTCGCTGCGCTCTTGTGTGCCCTTTGACATTTTTTCCTGGAACTTCCAAATATAGCAGGCAACAAGCAAGAGCCTTCATGCTCTACAAGAAGATGTGGCCAAGAACGAAGAACATTCAGTGCAGGAGGTGCTGGCCGTCTTGGGTATATAGTATACATAGTCAAGACAATTTCGTTCCACTTTGTGGTGTGTGCTTTTGACTATGAAGTCTTCGATTTTGTTTGCGTTGTCTTGAGGATCTTGTCCACAGATAAAGACATGCAAAATCAGGCAAACACAGTCGAGCAGTGACTTCTCTGATCTTCTTTGGTTCCACCAATGCTACCAGGTTGTTGTAATCTACTGCAATCTTTCTTGTTCTTTGTATATAATTGTGAGCACTTCTGATGGTTGTGTGGCGGGACCTTCTGACCTTCCTGAGTCAGGTGCAGTACTTGGGCTGCAGGATAGATGCAGTGCTGGAGGAGATTGCCAAGGCAACCAGCATTACAGTCACGGCGGTTCAGAATGGTTCAGAATGGTTCAGAGTTGTCATGGTGTTTGATGTTCGCATTGTAAATGTCAATCCACCAATCACACGCAACATCACAGGCAACATCAAACAACCACCCAAAAAGTTGACACAGTCAACTGAAACGTTCCCGCATTGGGCAGCGTCACATCATGAAGGAAAGTTGTATTGGCGATGAAACTAAATTGGGTCCGCAGAAGTGAAACCCACATGTGCGGAAGCCCGCGGAAGGGCTTGCAAAAGAGTAGTCTAGCCATGCGATGATCGTGGAAGGGCCGCGAAAGACGAATTCATGAATAAGGCCAACTCACCAGCTTCTGTTCGCGGAAGAGATATCAACTCACCCACCACCGAGGAAGACAGCGCTGAAGACATGTCTGAAAATGGGGATACTACCAAAATGAAAAACAATGGGGAACATGAATGAAAAGACGTACTCATATAGGATTAGAAATTAGAAGCGATTGGTACAAGGATTTTCGGCACAGCTCAATTGGGCATATCAAATTGAATCAACCATCTAAATCTAAATCACCGACGCACCAAGACACTGTTTTGTTTCAAGACAGGCGTGGACGTCGGCTAACGGCAAATGCTCATTCCAAAAAAACACTTTAAGTCAACCATGATCAATCTGTGTGCCATGGACACGAGACTGGGGCAGGACAGGGCCATGTCTTTTTCAAAAAAGCACACATGATTGAGGTTCAGCAGTCCTCACGTGAAACAGCAGAGGCCCGTGTATGTCGTTTTTGAATTATCTACCATGCCGCAATGCCTGAGATGCGACAGACAAATTCAATTGAGGCATGATCTAGGCCTGCCAATCCTCCCGTAAGGTCATTGGAATAGTTTTTCTTGAATGATCTAGAGGTATACCATGGTAATTACGCCTAAACTGGATGTGAAGGATCACACCTGGACGTGGCAAATCAAGTCTTCAAGACATGTTTCTTGAATTCTTGATCATTTCATTCAGCATGGCAGCTTAACTCAGCTTGACTCAGCTTGACTCAGCTTGACTCTTGACCCACTGCACTTGGCAAAGGCATCTGCTCACATGGTGAGCTCCACCTTAGCCAGGCCCTCAGGGCGCCCACTTTACTTTTCGCTATCCACGCTATGTTTTCCCAAAACTATTCTGCATAGTAACGCCATTTTGTGTCCCATTCTTACCACAGCTTGGCTGCTTGAGCTAAGGCTGACTTTCGCACTCAAGAACTGCACGCTCAGGCAATGTGCAAAACCGAGTTCCGATCCGGAGAGCCACCCAAAAGTCGGATTCGAGTCGGTTTCGGGTTTCGGGTTTCGGGTTTCGGGTTTCGTCGATTGAAACCAACTTTCGCTGTCGGTTTCGGGTTTCGGGTTTCGTTGCTTGAAACCAACTTTCGCTGTCGGTTTCGGGGTTCGGGTTTCGGGTTTCGTTGCTTGAAACCAACTTTCGCTGTCGGTTTCGGGGTTCGGGTTTCGGGTTTCGCAGTTCGGAACCAACTGTAACAGTCGGTTTCGGGTTTCGGTTTTCGGGTTTCGATCGGCCCTGGGGAAGTTAAGTCTTCAGAGTCGGTTTCGGGTTTCGGGTTTCGGGTTTCGGGTTTCGATCGGTCCTGGGGAAGGTAAGTCTTCAGAGTCGGTTTCGGGTTTCGGGTTTCGGGTTTCGGGTTTCGATCGGTCCTGGAGAAGTTAAGTCTTCAGAGTCGGTTTCGGGTTTCGGGTTTCGGGTTTCGGGTTTCGATCGGTCCTGGGGAAGGTAAGTCTTCAGAGTCGGTTTCGGGTTTCGGGTTTCGGGTTTCGATCGGTCCTGGGGAAGTTAAGTCTTCAGAGTCGGTTTCGGGTTTCGGGTTTCTGGTTTCGGGTTTCGCTGGTCGAAACCAACTCTGCAGACCTCTCTCCGGATCACGTCTCGCAAAAAACCAGTCATGACTTATATGACTTGTGCTGGGCAGTATGGATGCCACCACCTTTTGAAACATTTTAAAACCTGAGCTGGTGATAGCTGGTGTTGTTTTTAAATTTGTCTTCAATGCGTGAGATAGCGGCTATAACACACATGTGGCTTCATCCCAACTATTTGGCTCCAAAGTGTGCGCTGCCGTACAAAACCTGGTGAATCCTGTCAGTGGTCATCAGTAGTCGTATAATGCATATTTGTCTCAAAGGTATTTAATTGACCACCTTTTTTGCGCGGCAGGCCAATGAATACCGCGAGTTAAGAGAAGCGACTTCAAGCGTTGCTCAGGGAGTTCTTAGACTGGCACAGGCACACAGCTCGCAGTGGAGGTTGCCAATTGTAAATAATTACCAATAATATCATATCTAGATTATATGTATATGTGCAGTTTATATATGTTTTTTTGATTTAACAATATTGAATGTATATTGTATAATACTGTGTGTATATATATATATATATACTATGTATAATTATATGATTATATATGGGATATCATAGGATTATATTCTATGCTGTAGTGGGCACCTGCCCAGAGTCCTGGAAGGCTACCAAAGGTCGCTGCAGGTTTCTGCATACTGACAGCTTATGCATTTTTATGCTTTCTGGATCTTTCTGGTGCCTCAAGAGTTGGATTTCCGATGATTCCTATGCTGTACCCAGGCGGGTTTAACGTTTAGCAATTCGCCCTGCTTAATTTGCATGGAACCAAACTATTTCTAGTGGAGTAATTATCCACCAGGGCATCTCATGGTCTCTTGCAAGGCGTTTCATGCCTTGTCCTTTTCTGCTCAAAGTTCTGGGTTAACGTTCAAACATCAAACATTCTCAGAAAGTTTCCACCATTCCTTGAATTTCCAACAAGTAGTAAATAGTAGTAATGTAGTGCTGGTGTAGGATGCCTACAAGTTGCTGGGGATGCGGTCTTGGAATGGTATGCAGTGCTAATGCCCTTGCTGGGGCCATTGCTGCGCATACAGTTTTGATTGGTTTTGATCGGGTTCGATTTGTCTTGCTGGAAGCTGCTCCATGCATGTGCCACTGGTAGGACTTGACAGTTCGGCAAGTTTGTAGAAATCAAGACCATTCCATATCTGCCATCAACTAAGTATTGTAATTATACAGCAAGAAGTAGGTGTTTACCGGCAAACAAATTCCAATGTGCTGCAAATAGAAGGGTGGTGATGCATGGTGATGCCAGTGAGAGGATATGGGGCCTTTTTGAATCTTTGATGCATGGCAATGATGATGACAGTTCGCTGGTGCTGGCTCCACAGGAAACTTCAACTTGAAATCCGTCAGAACTGGTGGTCTCCTGAAATGAATCCGTCTAATCCTTCTAGCTCTGAATGTCACTGCAAGTTTGGGTTTTCAACGAGGTGAGGCCACAGTGAGGCCCATATATACTCTCACGCAGTGACTCAATCCTTGTCTTTTTGTTGCTCCATGCAACTGTCCTGACAATCAACCAAAGAGACTGATTGTTTTTTCAATTGTCACGCGGAAAAGATCTGCAACATCATACCCGGTGCTCAGCGGTATGACTGCAAGAATCAGGCATTTCAAATTATATATTGTGCCCGTCTCCAAACACTTTCCATTTGAACACATCAGAAGAAAGACAAGCAAGGGTAAAGCATTGTAAATCATATTTTGGAACAGCAAAGCTCAAATATCTCCGAAACATGTCGTCTCCTTGATTCATTGCAACCGAGAAAGTAGCTGAGAAGGCTTGGCACTGAGGGTTCTGAGATGTGTTTGCATGACCCCAATGAAACATTGAAGTGATTGAAGATGATTGAAGTAAGCACTTTTTTTTCATTTGAATTGTGTTTCACCAAGCATCCGAGGCCATGACTGGATCGCAGCCGAAAGATTCTAAGGGACGGCGAGATGGGACTTTCTCAAGCCTCCTTTCGGCCGTGCGTTCCTAGGCTTAAAACTCTGAAAAAGCAAACATATGCAAACATATGCAAACATATGCAAACATAAACAATCATTTAACATCAAGAATCAAGACCCAACTGAACAGCTTGGCGCAGGCATGAACAGCGTATCAGTTTTTGTCAGCCCAAGGTGCTCAGAGCGGAGAAGGAGCTGGCTTGAGAAAGTCAGGCAGTTCTTTGGCATTTAAAATTCAAATCCTACCTGTCGGCTTCTTGGAATTGTGTGCTTTCATGCTTCTCTCAAGTTGGATACAGAAACTATCAGAAACTAGGAATTGTTCTGTTTCAGTTTTTTCACGAAAGCCAGCCGCTAGGCTAGGCGAAGTTTTTTTTGCGAACAAAGTGAGTTTAGGGGGTCTGGGGGCAGAGCGCTCCTAACGGATCAAAAATCACGAAATTAGGTGGTAAAAAAGGTGGACCGAGGTAAACTTATTTAGGGTTATGTACCAGGTGGCAATTGGGTGATGGTGGGGTATCGATTCCCCCCTGGTCCGCCCTCCGAGCTGGACTTGGGGAGATTGCAATGGAGGGGAAAATGATGAGAAAAACATTGGAAAAAATGAGGGAATATGACGTAAAACAATGGGAAAAGAATGGGAAAACCCATGGAGAATTTGAGTAGAACGCTTGGAAAATTGATTAGAACGCGAGGAAAAACGGTGGAAAGAATGGGGAGAGGGTAAAATGATGCCAAGTAAAATTGAGGCTCCGATGTGGGACTATTATCGCGTAAAGCACGCGTGAAACATTGGAAAAGCAATGCAAAAATTCCAGTTTCGATGTGTGACCACTATGGAGTAGAAGCACGGAAATAAAACCATGGAAGAAACGAGCAAAACCGGTTATACCGTACAACGGTAGGGATTGTGAGAGGTGCATTTGGGTACGCGTTAGACACACTGAGGTAACATAAGGGTAATGATGGGGAAATCGAGTAACACCATGGCAAAACACTGGAAAAAATGATGAACTGGAAGGATAAATGGATAGAGACATCGCGTAAACTATGGGACGATTGAGTAAAATTGGAGGAAAAATTGTGAAAAAAACACTGGGGAGACTGGAATGGAGGGGAAAATGATGTTGAGTAAAACTATGGAAAAGCAATGGAAAAAATGTGGCTTCGATGTGAGACCATTAGCGATGGAAAAGCAATGGAAAAATCGAGGGACTATGATGAAGAAGTGGAGTAAAACAATGGAAACACAATGGAAAAATTGCGGCTCTGATGTCGGACGAAAATGACGCCAAGTAAAATAAGAGTAAAATGACGGAAATTGATAGGATGGAAACACAATGGAACACTTGAGGCTCCGATGTGGGACCATTATCGCGTAAAGCACGCGTGAAACAATGGAAAAACAATGGAAAAATTGCAGTTTCGATGTGTGACCACTATGGAGTAGAAGCACGGAAAGAAAATAATGGAAGAAACGAGCAAAACCGTTTATACGGTGCAACGATTGGGATTGTGGGAGGTGCATTTGGGTACGCGTTAGACACACTGAGGTAACATAAGGGTAATGATGGAGAAATCGAGTAACACCATGGCAAAACACTGGAAAAATTGATGAAATGGAAGGATAAATTGATAGAGAACTCGCGTTAACATTGGTAAAACGATTGAAAAATTGGGTAAAGGGTGCAGCGAGACAAAAGCCGGTGCGTTCCTGGCACCACCTCTCCTCGATCTATTCTGTTTCCCGCATCCTCCCTCTTCCTCTCCTTCTTCTTCGCACCCACCTTCGCACTCCCCTGGCTTTCGTTCCTCCCTTCTCAGGTGCTGTCACTGCAGGCCCACAGAAATGGCAGGGAAAAATGCAAGAGCCACAAGTGCAAGGTCCACAAGGTGTTGGGATTTGGACTCAGCCTGTTGGGATGTTCACTTTCTTGCCAGAAACAGACAGACATCGTGCATTCACTGGCCCTCGCCACGTTCAAACTTGTTTTTACCTATGTTTACATCATTTACATGTTTGCCTTCAAGTTGTTCACACTTGTTGTTGTTTGTGAGGCACACGAAGCGGATATTTGCACCCCAGAGTCCATGAGGGCGGACATGCTTTCTTTGGTTCCAAGGTTGCCTGGCGAAGATGCGTTCAGATTGTCCATGTATTATATATTCGTACGCAGACATTCATGATATTAATGTCATTTATTCTCACGCAAATTCCGGAGAAATGAAGTGGCTACATGATCTATCAAAGTTCACGCTGCTAAGGCAGTGCCAGAGAAACTGCCAGACATGGATAACGAGGGCAGGCCTTTCAATTTGAAACTTGTTGTGGTCAACTTCAACAATGCAGTGACCTTAGAACCGAAGAAGTTACGACATTTGAAGGCATGCTGAATCCAATCAATCCAGAACATTGATATTGTCAACCGGAGGTCGGGACCCACTTTGGTAAGATGTTCAAAAAGAGAGAGAGGCATGCGTTCGATTGGGAAGGTGTTCGCAGATGTGCTTCTTGGACCGAATTAGGCGCACATTGTTGTGCTTGGCTGTTGCATTCGTTTTTTGTTGGGCCATGTTGGGCCGCTTCACCTGTGCGATCAGCACAAACAACGCAACGTACATACAACCCACATACACACACACACACACACACACACTAGACAAGAATGGATCATTATATGATCCGGCAGGAACTGAATCCTGAAACATGCAGATTAGATGGGAAATTGGCAGGTACGTCAGAAAGGCGTCCCTTTCTGATATCACAGATCAAGGCAAGTGTCTTTGTTAGTGCCAGACTTGCAATGATCCCTGGCACCCCCTGCGTTATTTAGAAAGGGAGAGGACGGAAGGAAGAAAAAGAGAGAAGTTTTACATCTGTTTAGATGTTACACACACACCCGGCCAGAGCCGGGTCAACCCTGAAAGGCAAGAGGAAGAAAAAAGCGGACACACGACGGGCAGACGGCCAAAACAAGCGCAGGGGGGGGAGGGGAACAGACGGACCTCCAGAACCAACCTACACGGCGAAACGGACCTGACCAAAACAGCGCACACACCTAAACCCCACGACACATTACGGAGAGGCACGCGGGGAAAATTAGGGACCAAATGGGGGACTAGTTGGTGACAGACAAGGAAACCAAAACAATTAGTTAAACAACAGGATTCAGCTCCTAAACCTAGGGTTCGCGCGTTATGCCACTCCAGGCCCGTGTTCAAGTCTTGCCCCAATCGGCATAAAACGGCTTTCAAGTTCCAACGAATTAGGTGCACAATATGTTTAACCTCACCAGACAATCATCAAAAGAAAAAGGACCACACCTGGAAAGCATGTGCCTGCCTTTCTGTTGTCACAAATGTTCAAAAGCTGAAGCTGCAGTAAAAAACAGAGTTTCTGATTGTTTCGAACGGCTTCACTCTGGCAGACAGGAATCTCGGCGAGAAAACCCTGGGACTACAGGAGCAGCGAGACTCTTCGAAAACGGTGGATAACAGTAAGGCCGACAGTTTCGCTTTACTTAAGCGAATTACCATATTAAAATGTGTGAATTCGGAATTCAAGTCAGTCGACATTGACCCCAACTGGGGTTGCCTCAATTGGCCCTATGGCACCATGTCGGAGTCACCATAGGAATCACACTAGACAAGAATGGATCATTATATGATCCGGCAGGAACTGAATCCTGAAACATGCAGATTAGATGGGAAATTGGCAGGTACGTCAGAAAGGCGTCCCTTTCTGATATCACAGATCAAGGCAAGTGTCTTTGTTAGTGCCAGACTTGCAATGATCCCTGGCACCCCCTGCGTTATTTAGAAAGGGAGAGGACGGAAGGAAGAAAAAGAGAGAAGTTTTACATCTGTTTAGATGTTACACACACACGCGCGCGCGCGCGGACGGCCGGACGGACGAACGGCCGGACGGACGGACAGCCGGACGGACTGACAGACAGACAGACAGATAGATAGACAGAGAGGCAGAGAGACAGAGAGGCAGAGAGGCAGAGAGGCAGAAGACAGAAGACAGACAGAGACAAGCAGAACAGAAATACTAACATAACCATACATAACCTGCCTTTGTACCTACCTTTCTACCGACGTTCTTACATGACAACTTACGCACCTATATACCTACCTATCTACCTACCTACCTACCTGCCATCTATCTATCTATCTACCTACTCTACCTTCATACGTACCCACCTACCTCCATCCGTGCTACCCACGCCTGCGCCCACGCATGCACACATCCACAGCTGTTGCGCACAAGAGCATACAGGAGCAAAAAGGATGAGCAACTCATAGCGTGTCCTCTGCATTAAATACGTAGGGAGAACATGACCAAGCAGAATAAGGTGAACCATTGGCAGCTTTTCTCCTGGAACTGTTCGGGCGTGATAGGGACTGATTTGATCTGATACGTGGCGCCCGCAATCACTTTAGACAACCTCCTTTGCAGCACCAAAGCCATTGGACCGATGGCGATCGGCACGTTCTGGGCCCCAGTGCTAAACAACTGCCTCATTCGGTGTTTGTGTCCCACAAGCCAAACGCAGCGCGATAATGGTGTTCGCAGAAACTCTTGGTCTTGCAAAAGCTCGCAAATGATCGCCTGTGGTGCACGAAAATGCACGAAAGGGGATGATAGCAAAATATAGCAAAGTCAATCTGCCAAGGTCATTGATAGAAGGTTGCAGTTCTTTGTGATATGTCCCACTCCCCGACTCCGACAGTTGCCCACAAGCACGAAAACAAATCTGGCTCGAACACAGATCACAGATCATTGTTGACTGCATCGAATCCGCTAGGCTGGTGTTTAAATCGATGAAAATATGGAGCGTGAACATGTACGACAGCTGATACACCACCAAACCACAATAAAAAGCACCCAAATGCACGGGGCAAAAAGAGATGATGCAACATGATGCAACTAGAAGCTTGGACACCCGGTTGGTTGACAGCAGATTGATTGATTGACTCACTCCTCATAAGGTCTGCCGGCCAACCTGGATTAGTTTGGCTGTTTTTTTGCCTCCGGGATGGTGCAAGATTTGAGGTGAAAGAATTGACGAAAAGCAAATACAAAGTCATTGGCGTGATATACCAGAATTGGGAAGCCTGGGATGGCGATGAATGGTGTCAAGGCATTCCAGAGGAGAGTGGTAGAACTCTTTTGTTGCTGTCATGTATCGCCGAATCGCCCCGCAAATCCTAGCTATTCCGTGCTTCTCAAGTGCATGCCAAGCTGCTGTGAAATGTAAACCTGCAAGCTGTAGCTGAGCTGAGACTTAGCAAAGTCTTCTTGCAGGACATTCGATCTTTGTGCGAATCTATTCAAGAGACGCCTAAGATCGCGCTTAAAAACCAAAGGAGCCTTGACTTGTCTTGGACAATACATCCGCCCAAAGCTAGTGCATTTGAGCGTGATTTGTAATTCCTGCAGATTTGAGGAGTGCAGATGATGAGATGACCATCAAATGTGCGTACCATCGGAATTGCTGCATTTTGGACAATGACAACTACAAGGCGAAGAGCCAGATTGCATCACGCCTATCGATTGATCACCTACTTGTACCCGCAAAGTGACAAAGTCTCTGTGTTTAGACTCGGAAGAGAGATCAAGAGAGGCATACATTGTAGTGTATAATATGTTGCTTTTGGAATTTGTATGCATAATCTCCAGTACTTTGATGTACTTTGTTTTTCCTTCCATTTGAACGTTAGTAGATCCGGAAGATCATGCGTGGGAAGGACTGGCTCCATTTGCTGCGTAAAGATGAGATCCGCGAGTGGTATCAGTTCAGCAGAGGGCGGATCCACATGAAGTACTTCTTCGACAGTGAGGCTACTTGTTGAAAGGATCGTGGAATATCGTGTCGTGGATTGTAATCGGAAAGTGTCATAAAGATTCACAAAGTCCAACCCTTTTTACGGCAGATGGGTCCAACATGGTCCAACAGGATCCAGGCCGCGCAGCCGACGTGTTGAAGAAACACACCGAAGATACACCGAAGTTTTCAGGGATCTTTCTGGAGTGGACTTTTTACACTCGGAAAGAGACCCGCAATTGTGTTTGTGCGTCCTTGTTGGACTTTTATGAATGCATATGAATGCTGATGGTGTTGGGTCAATAACGTGATGTGAGTGGCCCTTAATGGCAAGTTTGCAAGTCAAGTATCTTGAGCTTGAGACCTGCGACGCCTGTGTTTGTAAGGTTGGATTCTTCGAGACCTTAGATGGAAATGCAGTTCGGGGAGCAAGCGAGGAGAGAGAAGAGAGGGAGGAGAAGAGAAAGTCGCGGAACCGAAGCCGCGCACGGGTGCCTCAGGCTTTAATATGCTTTAATAACTTTAGTGAGCTTCAGTAGATAGTGCATGCAATTCTCCTTGACAGTGTGACAGTTTGGACGCGCACATGCTGCAATGACCTTTTGCATGATCTGCACAGAGACCACAGAGTCGAGTCACTTGGTATCAACTCCTGCTTCAGCACAAAGTAGCACTAGATTCACTAGATCCAGCCGGTGTATCCGGGTGTTGGATGCGAGCTGAGTTTCTGTTTAAGGTGGAGGAGGAAGCGCGGAATCAAAGGTATTCCGAGGACGCTTGGAGCGCTCCAAGTGGCATCGACAACACTCCACCTGAAACAGCGGAAAGTTCAATGCTTTCTGATCCAGCTCCTATGATGGTTCCGCTCCTTTGCTGCTAAACCTCAGAATTGTTTTTTCATGATTTTTCAATACATGTGATGTTTTGATGTGATGTTTAAAGTCGCAGTGCACAACATGAGCCCTATCGCAACTCACGCTTATATATATATAATATTTTATAATTATATCAATAATATATATATATATACTGATTTATTTTGCACAGTGAGCTCATTTGGTTCATTTGGTTCGTTTGGCTGAACCACTTACAATCCGCCCTTGGCAGCTACACGTTGTCACTTTATGTATCAGAATTTGGCTATGGCTCACGCTTCAGCATAGATGCGAAATAATGAAATAATATGAAATGGTCGTATGAAATACTGTGAAATAGTTTCTCATGATTGATTTTGCCTGCTTCAACCTGACAAAGTGATCCATGTCGAACTGTTCGCAAGGACAGAGACCGGGTTCCGAAAGCATAAAGGCCCAACAATTACTATGCCAACTTCTATGGCCAGATCTGCAAGTGCCCCTAATACTGTGGATTTGACCGCCAGAGTCTCAGAAATTTGCACTGAATAAAGTGACAAAGCGTGCATTCTTTGGCTTGGAGTGGAGATGTGTTTTACCTTCGAGGCTGAACCAAGACGGTCTCCAGCTTCAAAAGACATCAACGGGATTACCGCAACCTGGTATGACGTGTTCACAATTTGTTTCCAAGTCTTGCCATTCTTCCGAGCTCCACTTCTACATTCAAAAATCTACTGGTTCAAGTGGGCAGCGCAATTGTGCAGGCAGGTTGGACTGCGCTATGCACAGCAGCACAACAGAGCAAAGTTCAATCTGTGGGGCGACTTCTTGAAGCAAAAGCGGATCCGAATGTCCCAAATTGCATGGGACCAGATCTCAGTAATGCTTGCATTTTTTGAGCACAGCATTGCAAGCATTTCAAATAAGACACGAATGCAAGGGTCTGAGAGGCTGCTGAGGACGATGCCAATCCAGATGAATCCAGATGTTTAGCATGATGATGGTCATGATGATGATTTCAATATGTTAATATGTTTCAATGATGGTCATCATGATGGTCATTGTGATAATGTTGATCATTTGATGAGGAGGATTAGAGTCAGGAGGAGTGTGACAACATGTGACAACGATTATTTCTGCGATTGCAACAGGAATTCCCGGGTTGTCAAGGAAGAATGGAAGAACGTATTCTTTGGATTGTTCAACTCTTTGGTTCCTGAGGAGCGCATCCACTTTTCTATGCCCTTTGCAACTGGAGCCTGCGTATGTTTCGCTTGCTGGAAAAACACGGAGCAAATCCTGAGAAAGCAAGGAGAACTGTAGAACTGGGGGAAGTACTCTAAGTGCTCCACGATCAGGAATCACAGAACGGTGTGGAAGAATTTACGCAAGTCGGACAGATTCTTAGATTTCAGAAGTGGGCCAAAGGAGCCCAGTCTTTTGGATTCCCTCCAACAGGCAGTCAAGTAGATATTCATAAGAGGCCAGTCCCAGGAAATCGTTTCTAGTTGCACACCAATTTTTGGCTACTAGTCCAGGAGTGAGAAAGGGGAATCCCTCAAGGCTGGGTGCGGAGTCAATGCTTCGTTTGATGCTAAGATAAAATAATTATTATAGATAAATGATGATAAATGATGATAAATGATGATAAATTATGATAAATGATGATAAATGATGATAAATGATGATACATGATGATAAATGATGATAAATGATGATAAATGATGATAAATGATGATACATGATGATAAATGATGATAAATGATGATAAATGATGATAAATGTACATGTTACATGATATAAATGCCATTTGCTTTATACAATCATTTTTTGTCAGATCCATGTATGTCTTTAAGGCCTATGCAGAACGGAAAGTTGGACAAGCAGCCGAGATGAAGCGCTTTGGAGCTGCATATTTTGCTTCTGCTTCGCGGCAAGATGCTTTGCCTCAGATTATTGTGGAAGCTCTGACTTCTGAGTAGGTGTCAGGTTTGTGCTTGACCTCTGCCTGCTACTGTAGTGTACAAAAGATCAATTTCAACATTTCTTGGACTTTCAGTACTCCAATTTGTAGTGAACCATACTTGATGGGGAATGAATGCATGCGTTCGCACTTCACACATATTTCATCATATACATTTCAATGTATTTCCATGTTTGAATGACAGTACACAGAGATTCAACCAAGGAGCTTCTGAGGGCAGTCGGTTTCTTGGCAGACTTTATGAATCAAAGATATTAAAAGTGTCTACTGCAACGCCATGCAACACCTGAAGTCCGAGTTCGATCTGAACAGATTTTTTTGAGCGCCGCTTAAGTGCTTATCGTGCAACTCTCTGCGCGCAGATGAAAGCCAGACTTGTTTAAATCTTGTAGATCAAAGCACCAGGATTAACATGGATTAACAAGATTGAGAATGATTGAGATATAGTTTTACACGAGGCGCTTTGCATGTTCCTTGATTAATTCATCGAGTGTTCTATTTGCTTCTCCCTTGATTCTGAGGTGCGAGGAAGGCTGCACGAAATGCACTAACTGCAGTTGCTGCAGCTGAATCAGAGAGAGCGAAGCGGCGACGCGTAGCTGACCGTGCAGACCCCGGACGTGTAGATGACGGAAGTGTACGTGGCCGCGCGATGCGCCGGACACAGGCGCAGACATCAGACCCTCAAACCCATTTACGATGGTTGCCATTGCCGAGTGGTTGGACCCTGTACTTTCATCTACTCTTCCTCAATATCCTTTCATGATACTTTTTCCCATTTGACCTCTTGTCATTTATTTGAGCTGTGTGACAGCTAATATCACAATATCAGCCAATTGCGAAATCGCTGTTGCTCAGACCTGGAGGTATATCTTTCAGAACGGTCTGTGCTCCGGATCAACACTTCTCTGAATAAGCTGTTCCTTCTTTCCACAGCGTTCTTGATTTATACATAGTACATAGATCAATATAAATTGTATGACCGAAGGAAGTTTAGAATCAAACTTCCGACAATATGGACAGATGGAAAAGCAGAGGTGGGAAGAGTCAGAGAAGAGAAAGAGTCAGCAGAAAGGAAGATCAGAGAAGAGAAAGAGTCAGAAGAAAGAAGATAAAGTAGGCTCGCTAAAGCGGCGGGTGCGGAGCCATTTGGGGAGATGAGAGATGAAAAATTGCACGCCGTTGTGGCGCAAAGAGCATTTCGAAGTCAAAACCTCACGTCCGGAGTACTTTTGGATGTTGACATGTCGAAAAAGTGCACGCCGTTGTGGCGCGAAGCACATGTCGAAGTCAAAATACACAAAACACCATTCTCGGAGCACTTTTGGAAGTTGAGATGTTCAAAAAGTGCACGCCGTTGTGGCGCGACGTACCTGTCGTCAAAATGCACAAAGCACATCAGTGTCGGAGCACTTTGGAAGTTGAGATGTTCAAAAAGTGCACGCCATTGTGGCGCGAAGCACATTTGAAGTCAAAAGCGTTAAAAACTGACGGTCTCGGACCACTTTTTGAGGATGTGGTTTTGCGTGGCAGGCGCAAGGGATTCAGCACCTTGCCAAAAGTGAGCAAAACGTGAGGGTTTTGTGGCAGTTTCAAAAACGTTGGCAGGCATGGGGCGTTTGAGGAAGATCTGCAAAGTATTTCGCGTGGCAGGCGCAGTACAGGAGACATGTTCATCAGAGATGTAAGGAGGTCCGGGCTCTGATCTCCTGACAGGGGTTGCGTTTTGGAGCATCCGATCATCAGGTTTGCTGGGATGATTTTGCGTGATAGGTTCAGCACTTCGTATGACCTGGCTTCACTTTTTCATGGCAGGCGCAGTACTTTAGATGGAATGGAAAAATCGCAAGACGCACTGGTACGAGGCCGTCAGCTCTGCACTTAACTTTCGATTCTTGAAGGAAATCTCGCAGAATTGCTTCGTTTTTGATGCTGTCAACTTGGAAAATTGAAAAAGTCTCGCAGAATTGCTTTGCTTTTGACGTTGCAAAGTTCAAAAATTGAGAAAGTCTCCCAGAATTGCTGCGTTTTGGATGTTGTCAAGATCAAAAATTGAGGAAGTCTCGCAGAATAGTTTCGTTTTCAAGCTTGCAGATAGACAGCTACAACTACAACTACAACTACTACTACAACTACAACTACGAATACATGTACATATATACTACGCTAATCTACGCTACATTACACTACACTAATTACACTACACTACACGAACTACAGTACGCTAATTACAATACAACTACAACTACAACAACTACTACTACTACTACTGCCACTACTACAGCTACAACTTCAACTTCAATTATAACTACACTACATTACACTACACTATGCTACACTAAGTACACTACACTACAGTACGCTAAAGTACAGTACAATACACTACAGTACACTACAACTACAACTACACTACATTACGCAACGCTCACTACACTAATTACACTACACTACAACTGCAACTACAATTCCAATTACACCACGCTACGCTACACTAATTACACTACACTACCCTACAGCTACAACTGCAGCTGCAAATACAACTACACCACTTTACAGTACACTACACCAGACTGCACTACAGTATACTACATACAGTACAGCACACAACATTACAGTACACTACACTAATTACACCACACCACAACTACAACTGCAACTGCAACTACCAGTAGTACCGCACAAGGCGGTGGCGGAAGTTTCAGAATAGGAAACCTATAGGAGACGTTGGTTGTTGTGAATCACGGATGGCAGAGCGAATCCACTGATTGACCGAAAAGGTGGTTGGAGTTGTGTTTGCTGGAGTGGTTGCAATGGTTGCAGTGGTCACCTCACCCACAACTGCTGGATGTAGTGTGATGTACTGCAACTGTAGTTGTAGTTGTAGCGTAGTGGAGTTGTAGTTGTGGTGTAATGTAATTAGTGTAGTGTAGTTGCAGTCATATAGTTGTAGCTGTATTTGTTTGTTTTTATTTGTGTTGTAGTTTTTGTAGTAAGTTTGTAGTTGTATTGTAAGTAGTAAAAGTAGTAGTTGTTTGTTGTTGTTTGTGTTTGTAAGCTGTATTGTGTGTGGTTTGTAGTTGTTGTGTAGTGTAGTTGTAGTAGTAGTTGTTGTTGTTGTTGCTGTTGTAGTTGTAGTTGTTGATGTTGCTGTTGTTGTTGCGGTTGTTGTTGTTGTTGTTGTTGTTGTTGTTGTTGTTGTTGTTGTTGTTGTTGTTGTTGTTGTTGTTGTTGTTGTTGTTGTTGTTGGTGTTGTTGTTTGTGTTGTTGTTGTTGTTGTTGTTGTTGTTGTTGTTGTTGTTGTTGTTGTTGTTGTTGTTGTTGTTGTTGTTGTTGTTGTTGTTTTGTTGTTGTTGGTTGTTTGTTGTCGGTTTGTTGTTGTTGCTTTTTTGCTTTTGTTGTTGCTGTTGTCGTCGAAGTTGGGATAGTTAAGTTAGTGAAGTTAGTTAAGTTAGTCAAGGTAGTTAAGTTAATCAGTGTCTCCTTTTTCGACATCTTCACGTCAAAAAAGGCTCAAAACCCTCAGTTTTTTACACTTTTGACTTCGAAATGTGCTTCGCGCCACAACGGCGTGCACTTTTTCGACACTTTTTCGACATCTGAACCTCCAAAAGTGGTCCGAGACCGGTTTTTAACACTTTTGACTTGGAAATCTGCTTCGCGCCACACGGCGTGCACTTTTTCGACATCTCAACTTCCAAAAGTGGTCCGAACCCCTGGTGTTTTGTACATTTTGACTTGGAAATGTGCTTCGCGCCACAACGGCGTGCACTTTTTCGACATCGCAACTTCCAAAAGTGGTCCGAATGGTGTGTTTTGTACATTTTGACTTGGAAATGTGCTTCGCGCCACAACGGCGTGCATTTTTTCATCTCTCATCTGGCCAGCTGGCTCCGCACCCGCCGCTTTAGCGAGCCTACTTTTCGACCCTCCGGAGCCCCAAATCATTGGAAAAACACAGTGTTTCGCGACTTTCCTACCTTTTCGCGCATCTGCATCTTCTTTCTTCTGATCTTTTCTCTTCTGACTCTTCTCACCTCTGCTTTTCAACTGTCCATATTGTCGGAAGTTTCACTTCTAAACTTCCTTCGACAACTACACTACGCTAATTACACTACAATACAGCTACAACTCCACTACGCTACAGCTACAACTACAATTGCACTACACCACGCTACGTCCAGCAGTTGTGGGTGAGGTGGCCGCTGCAACCATGGCAAGCACTCCAAAAAACACAACTCCAACCACCTTTCGGCCCATCAGTGAACCGCTCTGCCATTCGTGATTCACAACGACCAACGTCTCCTATAGGTTTCCTATCTTTGAAACTTCCGCCACCGCCTTGTGCGGTACTACTGGTACAATTCATGCAAGCTCTGCACGCGCAAGACTGTGAATTGGTGCCGGGTACCACCAGCTACACACAAGCTGCACCCACATTGATACGTGCAAACGAACCAAGAATGAACCTGTCCATGGACTGTGAAGGCCAGCAAGGCCGCATCGACAAGACCTTCATCGGGTATTCCGGCCCTTCAGGACCCATACGGAGGCGTGCGTTCGCAACGGAAGGGGAGAGTCGACTTCCCGGCTAGCCTTATCTAGTCCGCCAGTTTAAGTTATCCTTCATTGCCTCAGTCTTATGTGCGAATCGAACATGCATATGCATATATCCCTGTGTGTGTGTGTGTAATTGTACTTTTCATATTATGTCATAGATATTGTATGATATATATATACCATTATACAGACAGAGCGGGAAAACGATGTAGGTATATTTCTGAAAGCATACATATGCACATATGACACATGCGAATGTGAATGATGTGCATCTATGCTCATTTATGCACAATAAATTTCTGTATGAATGTAGGAAGGTCGGTTCTTGGAGAGGGGATTGGCCAGCATCTCATTCAGAATTGGCAGACACGGGAAAACTTACACAAACTTGCAGCGAGCGCGATCAAACACCTGAGCAAACCGTTTGAAAGAGACGCTTTA